AATCTGACTTTTTTCTGTTGCAATAATTTCTCTTAAAAATTTTGCTTTTGAAAATAATAATGTGGGGGCTGGTGCTGTGACACAGCGGGTTAATGCCCTGGCCTGAAGCGCTGGCATCCCATATGGGTGCCAGTTCTAGTCTGTTGCTCCTCTGCTGTGGCCTGGGAAAGCAGTGGAAGATGGCCCAAGTCCTTGGGCCCCTGCACCCATGTGGGAGACCCAGAAGAAGCTCCTGGCTCCTGGCTTTGGATCGGCACAGCTCCAGCTGTTGCGGCCATTTGGGGAGTGAACCATTGGATGGAAGACCTCTTTCTCTCTCTCTGCCTCTCTCTGTTAACTCGGACTTTCAAATAAATAAATAAATCTTCTAAAAATAAAGAAAATAACAATGTGTTTTATTTGTTCTATTAGAGAACAAGGAAAGGGGGGATGGGTCATACTGGGGCCCAAGTTAGAAAGGTGGGGCTGGCACGTGGCACAGAGGATTAAGTTTCTGCTTGCCATGCCAGCATCCCATATGGGTGCCAGTTCGAGTCCCAGCTGCTCCACTTCTGATCCAGGTCACTGCTAATACACCCAGGAAAGCAGTAGAAGACGGTCTAATGCATGGCCTACAGCGCTGTGGCATAGCAGATAAAATCTCTGCCTGCAGTGCCGGTATCCCATATGGGCACCAGTTTGAGTCCTGGCTGCTCCAGTTCTGATCCAGCTCTCTGCTCTTGCCTGGGAAAGCAGTAAAAGATGGCCCAAGTATTTGGGCCCTTGCACCCTTGTGGGAGACCTGGAAGAAGTTCCTGGCTCAGCTTTGGATTGGCTCAGGCTCTTGTGGCCATTTGGAGAGTGAACCAGTGGATGGAAGACCTCTCTATCTGCCTCTGCCTTTCAGATAAATAAATAAATCTTTTTTTTTTTTTTTAATAAGATGGTATAAGTGCTTGGGTCCCTGTAACCCACATGAGAGACCTGGTTGGAGTTCTGAGCTCCTGACTTTCGCCTGACCTGGCCCTGGCTGTTGCAAGCATTTGGGGGTAAACCAACAGATGGAAGATTCTCATTCTCCCTCTCCTTCTTTCTCTCTCTCTGTCACTCTGCTTTTCAATAAATAAATAAATAATTTTTTAAAAAGATGCTGGTTAAGACTCCTGCATCCATTATCAGAGTGCCTGAGTTCCATACCCAGCTCCAGCTCCTCACTATAGCTTCTGATTAATGCAGACCCTGGGAGGCAACAGTGGTGTCTGGAGTAATTGAGTTTCTGCCACTCAGGTGGGAGACCTGGGTTGAGAGACTTGGGTAGGACCACTCCTACAGTTTTGGGCATCTGGAGAATTAAACAGCTGATGCATGTAATCTTTCTTTCTCTCTCTCATCTGTCTCTCAAATGAATTAAATTTTTAAAAAGGTGGAGCTGTTACATGTAATAGTAGTAGTAGAGTGAAGCAAAAATGGGAATTGTAAGGCAAAGGTGAAAATATAAGGGGAAGGAATTGGAAAAGAGATTCCTGTGGATATTTTCTTTAGAAGAGCTTTTCTTTGTTAAAATAAAATTTATTATTTTTATTTATTTGAAAGAATTACAGGGACACACACACACACACACAGAGATATCTTCCATTAGGGTCCTCGCCCCAAATGGCAGCAACAGCTGGGGCTGGGCTAGGCTGAAGCCAGGAGTCTGGAACTCCATCTGGGTCTCCTGTGTGGTGGCAGGGGTCCTGCTGCTTTCCCAGGTGTATTAGCAGGGAGCTGGATTGAAAGAAGAGTAGCTGGGACCCGAACCAGTACTCCAATATAGGATGCTGGCATTGTGGGCATTAACCCACTGCACTACAAAGCTGCCCCCTAGAAAAGCTTTTCTACTCAAACTTGGGAAGATTTGTGTAGAGAGACTAGATGTAAAATCATGGATTTTGGCCTTGAAGGGAGACTTCCTGCTCCCCTGCTGTCCCCCTGTTTTATGAAGTTGAGTGTTTTAGCAGTAGAACTCCTATGGCTACTCAGACTTTAGCCTCAACGTATAAATCTGATTTGCCCCCTGAGGGCCATCTGAGTTTCAATCCCTGTAGTGTCCTCTTTTGCATGCCTAAAATATCGGGCTTTGTAGTTTGGCCAATCACTTACTTATTCAAGAAATAAGGGAAGCAGACATAGTTCATTCTTAGAATAATGATAGTTAATAAGAGCAAACATTTATTGAACTAAAAAAATAAAAGGAAAACTATGTCCCAAGCACTATACTGATTTGTTAATGTTTAGCATTATCTCATTTAACCCTCACAACATACAGTGATCCAGGTATTGTTATTTCCATGTTACAGAAAAGGAAAATGAGACTGCCAGATGAAGTAACCTGTCTCAGGTTAGGCAACTGGTAAACAGTAGAATCATGCTTCAAACTTAGGTTGGTTTGACCCTAGAGCTTGCACTCTTAGCTACTGCTTTGGGTATGAGTTTTTTTGTTTTTAAAGATTTATTTATTTATTTGAAAGTTATGGAGAGGCGGGGCGGGGGGAGAGCTCTTTCATCCACTGGTTCACTCCCCAGATGGCCTCAATGGCTGGAGTTGTGCCAATCCGAAGCCAGGAGCCAAGAGCTTCTTCTGTATTTCCCATGTGGGTGTAGGGCCCCAAGGACTTGGGCCATCTTCTACTGCTTTCCCAGGCCACAGCAAAGAGCTGGATTGGAAGAGGAGCAGCTGGGATTAAAACCAGCGTCCATATGGGATGCCAGCACTGCAGGCTGCAGCTTTACCCCCACTACACCACAGTGCCGGCCCTTGGGTATGAGTTTTAAAATTTATTAATATTCAGATTTATTGTAACTGAAACACTAGTATTAGCAATTTCCTGTTGATAGATAAACTGAGTCGTCAACAAGACTTTTTTTTTTTTCTGTTTTAAGTAGTAAAAGCTTTAGCTCATTATATTGGTGACTCTGTAGGTCTCACAAAAGATGCATCCAGTAAGTGAATTTGATGTTTTTCATCTCTCTGCTTTCCTCCTGCGGGAGTTCCTGTGGAGACGTTGATGATGATAGCTGACAAGGATCAAAGCAGACAAAACATAAGGGAGAAACTGCTGGAAGGAGCCTGGCTGATGGGGTAGAAGCCCCTTGAGGAATCCACTCCTGAATGATTAAAGAGCGTCAGCCTGGCTGTAGAGTTTGAAGTTGAATACTGGCCAGGAAGCTGCCCTCCAACCTGCTGAAGAGGAAGGGAGAAGCGTTCAGTTTTTTTGGGACATCCGTACTCTCCTGCCGTTATTATGTGGAAATAGGAACCAGTCTGCTTATCCACTGGTTTCTTTCTTTCTTAGTAACATTACAGGACTTAGGCTGAATTAAAGTTCATGTGGCAGTGTAAATATCCATGGATGTGAATATTAACTGTTCTCTTCACTTCAATTATAAAGCTTTCTGGTGGGGATGGCACTATGGTGCAGTGGGTAAAGCAGCCCCCTTCAGTGCCAGCATCCCATATGGCCGCTGGTTCGAGTCCCAGCTGCTCCATTTCTGAGCTCAGATCCAACTCCCTGCTAATGTGCCTGGGAAAGCAGCAGAAGATGGCCCAAATCCTTGGGCCCCTGCATCTAAGTGGGAGACCCCATTTCCAGCCGTTGTGACCATTTGGAGAATGGACCATCAGGTGGAAGATCTCTGTCTGCCTCTCTGTAACTCTGCCTTTCAAATAAATAAATAAATCTTAAAAAAAAAAAAAAGCTTCCTGAGGATATCGATTATCTCCCTTCTTTCTAGACCTGCAGCAAGGCTTTGATCACCACTGATAATACATTTGTTCATGCTGATAGTTTCCGATATAAACGCAGATAAAAAGTGAAAAGGAAGGTCGTTCACGTGTTGTTTTGGAATTTCCTTGCGTACCTAGCACGGTTCGGTTACTAAGAAATTGAAAATAAATACCTGGTTATGTGCGTGAAGACTTACAAACTGAAAGATGAGAGTCCCATCTAGAAGATCAGATTCATGTGAAATTAAAAGGGCAACTAAAGCCAGAAAGCAGCGCCCCTCCCCAACTAAAACGCTAAAAGTAGTTAATCGCACTTAAAATACAAAACCTCAAACCTTCTTATAAGAGTCTCTGCCAAATGAGCTGGGAAGGGTAGGCTTGAACTAGGCAAGCTGCAGCGGCCTTTCGGGACTGACACTCTGGAATATTACAGCCGGTTCGTGATGCCAGTTTAGGGAGGACAGCGCAAGATCTGATCGTGTGCTTCACGTACCATCTTCTGGTCTCCCTCCCTTCGCCAGCTCTTTTAAGGTAGTGACTGTTTCTGATTCACCTGTGGGCTGTACCACTTAGCACAACTTTGGGCACCAAAGGGACGCCCGGTAAACATCTGCTGAATGAATGAACAGCTTGGGGCTGAGTTCTACCGCAGGGTCAGACCCCGAGTTCCAGTTCAGAACCCTGTCGAGGTCAAGCTCCCTCCATACACTCCCCTCAGGCACTGCGTCTACACAGGTGCTTGAGCAGTCGTTGGCCGCGGTGGTTGTCATAGCAGAAAAACTGGCTTATTCTCATGATCTCTGTGATAGGCAAATTGTGTAACAGAATTAGAGCTGGTATCGAACCCTCGGAGCGCCAGGAATTGCGTCACTGTAGATCCAAGCAGTTAATCTGTGAGGATGCAGGAGGACCAAAGAGATCCGGAACCCTCATTTTAGCCACACTGTCCGCGGTAAAACCTTTCCCCCTCTTCCGTCCACAGACTCTTGTTGCTAGAGCAACTATGGGCGTTACCAATCGGACGGCGGAAATACGGCAAAAAAAAAAAAAAAAAAAAAAAAGTACACGTCTCCAGCCCGTCGACGGAGCCATCGCGCACACGCAGTAACTTTTTCTGGTTGTAGTTCGCATTCTGTTGGCGCAATCTGCGCCTGCGCGGTAGTAGTTACGCCCCTTAGCCTGCCTCCACGCCTGCGCAAATCCATTCACCGGTGGGGGCGGAACTGGGCCACGGCGATGCGCATGCGCAAACAGGACATCCGTTGTGGTTGCTTCCGGGAATTGAGGAGCGCGGGCCCGAGTACCTGTGGTGTAGTCATGTCGGCGTCGGTAGTGTCGGTAATTTCGCGTTTCTTGGAAGAGTACTTGAGCTCCACGCCGCAGCGCCTGAAGTTGCTGGACGCCTATCTCCTGTACATACTTCTGACCGGGGCGCTGCAGTTCGGTTATTGTCTCCTCGTGGGGACCTTCCCCTTCAACTCTTTCCTGTCGGGCTTCATCTCTTGTGTGGGGAGCTTCATCCTGGCGGGTAATGATTCCGTTAGTAATCGTGATAATAATGTGCAGCTTAGGTGCGCTGCTTTTGTCCGCAGTACTCTGTTTTATTTCGGACCCCTATCGTAGGTGGAGGATTGGGGAGAGCCGGGATTGTCCGCTCGCTCTGAGTGGGGAAGGTGAGGCTCAGAAAGGGTGTCAGGTGTCTGGAACCAAACAGCTGGAATGAAGTATCTGAAGAAACCAGTTCACGCTGCTGGGCGTTGGGGATCCACCTCACTTTCCGTTGTTCCAGGAGACTTTAGCACAACTTTAAAGTTAGTAGAGTTTTACTTAATTATTTGAAAGGCAGAATAAGAGAGAGAGAGAGAGAGCGAGCATGAGAATCTTCCATCCACTGGTTCGCTCTCCAAATGGCTGCAATGGCCAAGGCTGGGCCAGGCTGAAGTCAGGAGTCAGGAGCCAGGTGCTTCTTCAATTGTCTCCCAAGTGCTTGGGCCATCTTCCACTGCTTTCCCAGGCACATCAGCAGGGAGCTGGATCAGAAGTGGAGCAGCTGGGTCTCCAACCAGCGCCGGCATCGGCTACGCCAGAACACTGGCCCCGAGGTAGACTTTTAAAAAGAAAAACCCAACTCTGAATCATCGCTGTCACCTTGGCCTAAACGTTAGTAACTTCGAGTGAAACATTTCAAGGAAAGTGCATGGAATATATAGGTGCTTTGTTAAATCATAGTTTACTCAGTTTTGGCTTTTAGCTGCTTCTCCTTGTTTCTTGTGGCTAAAGATGCTATTTCACTATCCTGAACTCAAACTTTATTTATGGAATTCTACTTTAGCTTTATCTTTCCTTCTGATTCCCAACATTTGGTAACCATGTAGATGGCCACATTTAAAGGAGGCTTTCTGTGTATTTTTGCTGAAATCTCACCTTTCTTGCCCAAGAAGATTCAGTGGATACCAACTACAGTTTTGCCTAGGGAAAGTTAGCCAGTCCAGTTTATAAGTGGCCTTCCGTGGGCCTTCCAGTCAGTGGTATTGCCATCTACTTGACTTTGAAAACATGCTGATTTATGTTTGCAGCGTGATTATCAGTGAGTTCACCAGTTTGTTTTTTCTTTTAAGATTTTATTTTATTTATTTGAGAGATAGAGTTACAGACAGAGAGAGGGAGAGACAAAGAGAAAGGTCTTCCATCCACTGGTTTACTCTGCAAATGGCCACAACTGGGCCTGTCTGAAGCCAGGAACCAGAGGCTTCTTCTGAGTCTCCCATGTGGGTGCAAGGACGCAAACACTTAGGCCATCTTCTACTGCTTTCCCAGGCCACAGCCGAGCAGCTGGGACACAAACCAATGTACATTTGGGATGCTGGTGCCACAGGTAGAGTCTTAGCCTACTGTGCCACAGCGCTGCCCCATCAGTTGTATTTTGAGTTGATTACAAAGTATTATGGTAAATGTTCTGGGTAGTACATCAGGTATATGACTGTATTCCTTGTCTTCAAAGAATTTATAGTCTAGTTGTGGTACAGACAAAATATGGCATTAGAATTGCCTGGAGACTTCACTTATAGTTGGGGCCTCCTAAAAGTTATAGATCTAAAAATCTCTACATTGACATAGCCAGTTTAGATATACCAGAGGTACTTAGATTTTTCAATTTGATCATCATCATCTTTGAGTTTTGTCCTGGGTGATCAAGACCTAGTTCTCTGTGGCTGCATCCTGGCCTTCAAGATGTGTTCCATCATCTGGTAGACCAATACACTACCTTCTGTGCTCTGCGTGCCCACCCAGTATTATTCATGACTTACAATTTTATTAGCCAGCCTGGAGAGGGAACCTTGATGAGAGCCTCTGACTGGTTTTGTTTGATGCTTTTTGTCTTCAGATCTGGAAGAGTAGAAGAACATGGGATCTGACAGGTGGTTTTAAAAAAAGAAGCATTCTCTGCCCAGGTCACCTTGGCTTCAAAAAATCCTCTTGGGTTAAGAATGACTTCAGTGCTATATGGATGAGTGTGATTTGCTGAAGAGTAGGCATGGACTAGAGTTAATAGATTGTTAATGTAATGAATCCAGAGGTTTTTATTATTATTATTATTATTACTTTATTTGAAAGAGAGAGGTAGAGACAGAGAGGTCTTCCATCCGCTGGTCCACTCCCCAATTGGCCGCAACGGCCAGAGCTGCGCTGATCCGAAGCCAGAAGACTGGAGCTTCTCCCAGGTTCGTGGTGCAGGGGCCCAAGAACTAAGGCCATCATCTACTGCTTTCCCAGGCCATAGCAGAGAGTGGGATTGGAAGTGGAGCAGCTGGGACTAGGACTGGCGCCCATATGGGATGCTGGCGCTTCAGGCCAGGGTGTTAACCTACTCCGCCACAGTGCCGGCCCCAAGCCAGAGGTTATTGAGGGCTCGACATTTGCTTATGCCAAGGCCTATGTTTAGCATGTTGTGTCTAAAATTGAGTTGGCCGTCTCTTTCCTTCACTCCAGTGAGAACTGGATGGCTTAATATTGAAGAAAATGCCTAGTGAGAGGGAATGTTCATGTGGGGCTGATGGAGGGGGAGGAATCTGTTAGATCTAACAGATTACAGGGCCAGAGAAACGAAAGTGGCTTCAGAAAAAAGAATTCATGTCAGTTCATTGTTGTTACCCAGGGGTATCATTTGCATTTTTTTTTAAGATTTATTTAATTTTTAATTTGAAAGGCAGAGTGACAGGGACAAAGAGAGGTCTTTTCCATCTGCTAGTTTACTTTTCAAATGGCTGCAACAGCCAGGTCTTGGCCAGGCCAAAGTGAAGAGTCAGGAACTCCATTCTGGTCTCCCATGAGTGGCAGGGGCCTAAGTACTGGGACCATCTTCTGCTGACTTCCACAGCATGTTAGCAGGGAGCTGGATCAGAAATGGAGCAGGGGCCGGCACTGTGACACAGCAGGTTAAAGCCCCGGCCTGCAGTGCCGGCATCTCATATGGGTACCGGTTTGAGTCTTGGCTGTTCCACTTCCAGTCCAGCTCTCTGCTATGGCTTGGGAAAGCAGTAGAGGATGGCCAAGTGCTTGGGCCCCTGCACCTGCATGGAAAACCTGGAAGAAGCTCCTGGCTCCTGGCTTTGGAGTAGCTCAGCTCAGCTTTGGGCATTGCGGTCATTTGGGGAGTGAACCAGCAGATGGAAGGACTCTCTGACTCTATTTCTCTCTCTAACTCTGAGCTTGATTTTGCTTGACAGGCAGAGTGGATAGTGAGAAAGACAGAGAGAAAGGTCTTCCTTTTGCTGTTGGTTCACCCAACGGCACTGCGGCCTGCGCACTGCGCTGATCTGAAGGCAGGAGCCAGGTGCTTCTCCTGGTCTCCCATGGGGTGCAGGGCCCAAGTTCTTGGGCCATCCTCCACTGTACTCCCGGGCCACAGCAGAGAGCTGGCCTGGAAGAGGGGCAACCGGGACAGAATCCGGCGCCCCGACCGGGACTAGAACCCGGTGTGCCGGCACCGCTAGGTGGAGGATTAGCCTATTGAGCCATGGCGCTGGCCTCTCTAACTCTTTCAAATAAATAAAATTAAAACAAAAAAAAAATGAAGCAGCTGGGAGGCTTGCTCTGTTTTGCTACAATGCTGGCTCCTAATTTGTATTTTTTTTTTTTTTTTTTGACATATTGACTTTACTAACTCCTACTTTCTCTGCCATTTGTTAACCCAGATAAAACTGGAGATTGGTTTTTGTGGGAAATTTGAAATTCACGTGCTTGGCCTTTTTCTGGCAAAGGAAGCTTTATACCTATTTATGGTGCTGACATTTCTGTGGTATGTTCCTGCTGGAAGAGAATGGAGGAGGCCAGTTTGGGGGAGAAAGGATACTGTAGGGCATTATGTTGGAGGATTAGGTGGTGTTTAATGTTAGAGCTTTGAGTGCCAGGTCAAGGAAGTTGGGATGTAGGTAATAGGAAGAATCTGAGTTTATTATCAATTTTGAATAAAGGAGTAACTTAAAATTGGTGTTAGCATATAGGATGGATTGGAGAAGAAAGTTCCTTTATTTCTTTTTTGGCTATGTTCTTCCACTTCCTTTGCATCTGATAATTTTTCCTATCCTCTTTGGAAATTGATCTGCATATTTTAAACCAGTTTAAAATATTGCATCCCTTGGCGCTAGCATTGTGGTGCAGTGGTTAAGCCCTGGCCTGAAGTGCCAGCATCCCATATGGGTGCTGGATCAAGACCCGGCTGCTCTGCTTCCGATCCAGCTCTCTGCTATGGCCTGGGAAAGCAGTAAAAGATGGCCCAAGTCCTTGGGTCCCTGTACCCACATGGGAAGACCTGGAGGAAGCTCCTGGCTCCTATCTTAGGATCGGCGCAGCTCTGGCTGTTGCAGCCAATTGAGGAGTGAACCTGCGGATGGAAGACCTCTCTCTCTCTCTGTCTCTCCTCTCTCTGTGTAACTCTGACTTTCAAATAAAATGAATAAATCTTTAAAAAAAATTAAAATGCAGGGCCAGCGCTGTGGCTCACTTGGCTAATCCTCCACCTGTGGCACCAGCATCCCATATGGGCGCCAGGTTCTAGTCCCGGTTGCTCCTCTTCCAGTCCAGATCTCTGCTGTGGCCCAGGAGGGCAGTGGAGGATGGCCCAAGTGATTGGGCCCTGCACCCGCATGGGAGACCAGGAGGAAGTACCTGGTTCCTGGCTTTGTATTGGTGCAGCGCTGGCCGTGGTGGTGACTTGGGGAGTGAACCAATGGAAGGAAGACCTTTCTGTCTCTCTCACTAACTCTACCTGTCAAATTAAAAAAAAAAAATGCTGCATCCCTTTTATTTATTTATTTTTTTGACAGGCAGAGTTAGACAGTGAGAGAGAGAGAGAGAAAGGTCTTCCTTCTGTTGGCTCACCCCCCAAATGGCCGCTATGGCCGGCGTGCTGCGCCGATCTGAAGCCAGGAACCAGGTGCTTCCTCCTGGTCTCCCATGCAGATGCAGGGCCCAAACACTTGGGCCATCCTCCACTGTACTCCCAGGCCACGGAAGAGAGCTGGACTG